CGGTTCTATAAACATAATTAACTCAAGCGTTTCACTTTAGCTTACCTCACTATGTGAGACCTCATGTTTTCTAATAGGAATTAAGCGCATGAGATTAATACTGTTCAATATTAATACCCTTCTTTATTCACTCAATGATGAGTTTGAAATATTCGAAGTTATTTTCGAAACAAAGCGATACAAATTAAGATGAGCTCATTTCGGATTGTTACACGCTGCACTGATTAATATTTAGAAGGGAATCGATGACAGTCAATCCATAAACGGAAAGACAGAATTAATAAAAGCAAATTTCCAACCGCATCGATCGGACAACTCTTAACATACAACATTTAATTATGAATATATTGAGGCTTATTCTACTGATAATTCCATTAGCATTCACGTGGGAAGTTATGCAAAGACCAAAAATCACGATTATGAGACTCACAAAAGAATACCTCTCTTAAGATTATTTGCAAAACTTTTCAAACTTTACAGAGTTGCGACGAAAAGTTTGCTATAGAAACAAAATGCTCCTAATCAAGTTAATCATATACTATAAATAATGCTATAAAATTTCTCCTATCGTAATAGTGTAATGTCACTGCGCATAATGTTTTGATTAGAAACCATCAATCATCAGGAAATCCCCAAATCGTCCTTATGCAATGATGTAAGAAAGCAAAACATTACAATGATCCCGAAGAATGTTTCACTGGACGACAATATTATATTGATGTACTTGAATGTCCTTAAAAATGCACTTGAAAGGAAAGAATTTTTGTCGAACGACGCAGCTTGACAATATTATATCAAGGAATGAATTTATGCGGTAATATGCAGGTTCGATTTGAGGAATAGCAACAAACCAAAAGGGAGTGTCAGAAGACAACCAATTTAAGGATATTATTATAAGTGTACAATGAAATTGCACATTTTGAACTTGTCACACTTTTCATAATGTTAATTGTTGTTAATTCGCAACGTTAATTTGTTTTGTGTCTTGCATCATTGGCTGCGTAATTCAGTTGCACTTTAGTTCATGAATTATCTCAAGTGACATGGTTCGATACGAATTCAGAGCGAGCTTGCCTTTTTTGAGCAAGTTCGAAATTCATTAGCTTTTTACGAATTGGCAATGCATTGCAATGAAGTTATTTATCGGCAAATTTAACAGAAGCCTCAAACGAGCGATCACCAGTTGATCATTGGTCTCATACAAAATCGCACACACACACACACACAAGTACTTACGTCTTCCGCAATACACCTTCACGGCAATCCACAAGCCAAGAACGAGTTTTCTAGAACGCGTCTTTTCATGGAAATGTATCATTTTATTTAATCTGATTCTGACCATTCAACAGAGTACAAGCCAAAAATTTGTGTGAAATTGGTGCACGAATTACTGCAAATATTCGCAGCGTGAACGCTAAAATCAACCTCCTCGAAAATTGATTTGGCTAGCACTAACACTGAAATCAATCAAATAACTGCCTTGGCCCTNTCACAATACCTATGAAATTCGATTGTTGTTGTTATTGGTTTGTTCGTGAACAGAGTTAGGAATCGCTATCTCGATTCATCCAAAATCAGTTTTGATATATGCAAATCATTAGGTTAGATTGATGGCACCACTTAAGCATTTCCAAAAGGATTGAGTTAACAAACACCTCTTACTAATCGTAAGCATTGTATCAAATCAGTTCATTGAAATATTAGCTTTTAGGAGATGTGGGAATACATGGAAATTAGATGTGTGGATGATGAAATCAATGGTGTGAAGAATTCATGAATTTCAGGATAAAACTGATGATGTTGCCCTATTCAAGGTGAGTTATTTTCATTCACAAAGTTTCATATGCATGGACTGATCTATGTTCTTTAAGTGGATCAACACGATCAAAACACTCTACTGAAGGGAATGGAAACTTTCTTGTAGATATTAATAATCTAACGGTTGATTTGATTAGCACTGAATGATCTGCAACTACCATGTTAATCTTAAACCGTCATTTGCTACTTGTGACATCAACTGCATCGAAACAATAAGTGTCCAAAAGGCATGTATTTGGTGAAACGATTACCCAGCTATCCATCTCTGGAAGTCTACTTTCCTTATCCGCTCTCTTTTTCGAGTGCCGCTCACTATGGATGCCGATATAAAAGTGAGGCTGCGCAAACGATGATTTGAATTGATCCACTGGTGAATTGCAGTTGGATTTCAAGCTTCTATTGCAATGAATAAGTCAGAGGCGAGTCGAGTTATCTTTCTTGCATTGGGTTTGATGATGTAAACGATTAATCTTTCAGATATTATGCGAGCATTTCGTTTTATTAACATGCACACACGCATACATGACGTAGACATAAATAAACATCTTACACTGCATGGGATCAGATTAATATTTTGTGAACAAAATAGTGTCAAGGTCTCCACTCGTGTAAATTGCTGTTTCGCCTTCTTGAACTGTTCAGATTTTCTTTCTGCATTTATTTATGTAACTAACCTTCACGATTGAGCACATCGATCGCATACCATTATCAACGTTTGAATTTCGTTCGCTCAGTGCTTCCGAGAATCTCTGAGATGTTTCTGATATTTATTCAATCGTTGAATATTCATTCAATCATATTCAATCATTTTTTCATTCAATCTTTTGATTTCTCATCGAAATTTTCGTCAATCTGTCAATCGCTCCGTGAAAGTGGCGAGATATTTTGCCTGGAAATATATGCGATACTGCGTGAATTGGTGAAATTTTAAATCAGCTTCAATGAATAAAGCAATGCGACTGACTCCACGAGGC